CTTTGTACCTGACGCACCAGTGCCGACCCAACTCCACCACTACGCACGCCTCGCGGCGGGTGCGCCGCAGCAAGATGGTATCGGTCCCCTGAGGGTGAGTCTAGCCCTGCTCGCTAGAAAGACCCCCCCCGTCGCTATGGGTCATGCCTACGCAAAACCTTGCCGAGGCAGCGAGGGGAAAAAAGGGTAGAAATACTAGATTCTGCTACGCGACGAACGGCCGCTACATGGGTTTTTGGGGTAGTTCACAAATGTTGCGAAGTTCTTAGATCGGATTGTGAGTTTAGCATTTTCGAGGCTCAATCTTCTGACTACGCTAACTGCGTGCACGCGGCGACCTCGGGCTTGGATTGTCTGGTTTCAATTACCTAGCAGGAAAAGGCCGGAGACAGGTGTCATGGAAGAACACAAGATCACCCCGCATATATATATTTTGTTTTCCTTTTTTTTCTCCCATCATTGGACTCTGTCGTCTGCCCCTCTGACCCCTATCCTCCACTTCTTCTAAATAGACGACCCAACCGGGGTCACATAGGAGGGGGGGGGCTGGACCCCCTCCTGCGGTTCCTGCCTGAGGTATTTTTATCGCGCGAAGGGTACAGCAATCCCTTCCCTCGCGACTTGCGAAGTCGATTATGGTTTGCAAACAACGAATTTACAGCGCGTCGCTTTCATTACAGACCAGGATTTATTTAGTGAGAAGAAAGCTCACTCTGCCGGGACTCGAACCCATGACCTGGCCCTTAGCAGGCCGCGAGGTTACGCACTAGACCACCGGGGCAACCGGTTATGTATTGGCTCCGTGCTCTTGAGAGCAGAACACACAACACAACCTGAGACAAGCATGAGCCGCAAGGTGATTGGTATTGGAACACACCTGAAACTACGTCAACACGCCGATGTAGCTAGAGAATTGCGTTTGGTAAGGAGGTCTACACCATCATGCTGTTGCCTTCCGTGGTCTACTGCAACATGCACCTGGCATGACACCTGGAAGACGACGAGGTCGGTGAAGGCTTCAGGCTCGCCGTTGGAGCTATAGTCCGCACATAAAAGCCTCCTGCGCCTGCGACGCACAATATCGCAGTTATTACGGGTAGCCACATAGTAAGCGTGCACATACCACCCACGCGCGCTGGGTGCTTGGCGTGTGGTTGTTGCACACCGCCCTGCTGCGGGGCTCGTAAACACGCCAGCGCTTGCGAGATAAAAAGGTTCTCCAGCTGGAAAACGCCTCCCAGAACCACACCTTACAACGCCTCATTGGAACCCGGCAGGCTCACACTCCTCACACTCTCACACGCGCCTACAACAACGGCTGGCGGCCGACGCGATAGTAGCGTTCCCTTCAGCAGCTCAGACCAGCCTCATAGCAGTCTACTACAGCAGATGGAGATTGATTCCGCTGGTGAGGCAAGCTCTTGGCAGCTGGAGAAGGTGCTGCTAAATTGGCCGAACACCGTCCGAGAAGCAGTTAGACTGCACAGGCAGTGCTCATGATACCCATCTCTGTCTGGGAGTGAGAGCACCAGAGAAAGTAAAGTCATTCGCAGCTATCATCCGTACGCAAGGAAGTAAGCACAAGACAACGAACACCCTTAGCAGGATGCAGCGAACCCTCCATGCGACTCGCCGAATACCTCACTCTACGCTTGGTGATGTGCTTAGTCTAGATTTCAAGTTTCAAAGCCGCACCCTGCAGCAGTTTGGATACACCACAGCACTCGGTGTTCAAGGAAGCAACTCTTTACTACGTACGTACGCGGCACCCAAAATGATCTTCTGTTATCGAGTAGTTTCGGCAATCATGTCGCTTTTTTTGGGTTCACAGAAAGACCAACACACATCAGCCGGGAGTCTGGGAGTGCAACTGGCGTACACCACACGCCCACAGTAGGATAGAACCGGCAGAGACCTCCGGTATCTCTGTGTACAAAGTTTCGCAATGTCAACCCACACTTTTTGTCGATAACGAGCACGCAGTAGCACCACCGAGAAAGAACAGCTCAGAGAACAGCGAGGAGGGAGATCAACTACTGTTCATATACAGAGGAACACGCGCAAATTACTGTCAAGCTTACAGCAGTACCACCCATACCGAGGGATGCGTGCTCTTTCTACATGTATCGTCTGCGTGCCCGTTCTCTCGCCAGACCACTTCAAGCAGCGTGATGGTGATGCTTCTAGGCACTGCATCCGTTGGTGAGAAGTTTTATTCTGCGTGCTTCTTCGCTTCTTGTACTCTATCTGGAGTTTGTTGCTGGTATGTGGAACAACCGCATGGCAGCATGACTGCTCGGTGATTTGTTTCTTTGCTGCCACGGTGACGAAACCTCTGCTACAGTGTCTCCTTTTATTAGAGAGGTAACATTTTGGAAGCGTGCGGTCCGCAGATGAATGTGTCTTGTTGGGCGGTACCACAGCTGTAGTACGCTGGTTGGCGTATGTGGTAGAGGCTTGGTAGAGAAAACAAAAAGAGTGATTTATTATCCACACACAGACGCCTGGACTGTCTGCACCTGACGGTTACAGTAAAACAGAACGCCTTCACANCCAGCAGAATAAAGTCGGTCTTGCACAGCAAACACCCCAACATGTCCTCTCAAGAACGTACGTCATTCTGATACATGAGACTCGAATCTT